ATCCCATGACCACACAGGTTGTTCTCACCTGGCTCTGAACAGCCCCTCTTCTAGACAAGGTTAATGAGTACCCTGGCTGGTAGTTCCTGGGTTAGGTGAAGAACCTCCCCAGGACTTGCTTATCTTGGCAGAACTGGGATTCTCAGTGTCCAAATTCAGCACTACAAGCACTTCCCGGGGTGTGGTTTCTCCCACAGCAGGAGCCTCAGCCCGGGGTTCCGCACAGCCGCTTCCTGGGGAACTCCAGCTTCCTGTTTGGGGACAGCTGCTTTCCAGAATTACAGGTCTGAGGCCGAGCTGCAGATAGCACTGTGTTTGCTGGGAACATCCAAATGCTCTAAGGTCCAAGGGAACCACTTGGACAAGCCGAGCTGAAACTTGCACACATGGGAGATCATACCCACACCGGCACAGACGTTTGGCACGGGCAGTCTCCCCCAGGTGACTCCAGGATGATGGGTTCTGCCAGGTTGAAGCTCTCTTGGGCAGAGCTGTCCATGTTTAACCTTCCTAAACAGACTTTCAGACTAAGTTGCCTAATACCAGCAAAGCAGAGCACACGATTTGCTTGCCCATTTGACATAATCATAGGCTGTCCCAGCATTGGAACAGTTTAATGAATACTGTAGGGTGGATTTTGCTGTCAGATCATAATACCACCTTTCAGAAAAGCTCTTGCCACTGTCACCATCACTGTGTCTGATACTGTGACTATGTGATGAACCCCCAGAACTGTAGCAGTACACTGATATAATAAATGTATTCATTCAAACTGCAATAACTATGCAGAGGAATATCCTCTCCTGCTGTCCATTCTTGGCCCCATTTTTAGGTTAAAAGATTGAGGAAAGGTATTTCATTACTGCCAACACAACATGTTCTGAGCCTCTTTCCTCACATTTACTCAGTGTTAAAGCTCTGGTGATGCCATTGCACTCCCTTAATAAACCTCAGGGGTTTCACAAGAAGGTTGCAATGCAGCCTTGAGAAAAAGGAAGAATATGAGTTGAGCCACAGAGAGAGAACGGAAGGATCGTGCTGTCATCAACCCAGACTGCTTCCAACAGCACTTTTTTTTCTCTCAGCTGTCTGAGAACCCAGAAACCCAGAGGGACATTTCGAGTGTGCAGTGAAGCCCGTGTGCACCACCACACCCAGCTGCTGGGAAGCACTTTGAAACTCACTCTGGTTTTGGGACATGGCGAGGTGACAGGCCATGACCTCAGAGATGTGCTAAAAGGAAGAGCTCAGAAGACACATTTGCATGAGGCTTGAAGAAGAGTGCACAAGGGGCTGACGGCAGAACCATGGCAGAGACACCCCTGTTGTGACATGTACTAAAAGACACCCAATCCCTGGGTCTTTAAACAGAGAAATCCAGGGCTGAGTAAGGTTGGTAGGAGGAGAAGGTCAATAGTGAGACCCTGCTGCATGTTGCACGGGGGTTTTGCAGAGCTGTGTGCAGCCTGGCTGGGGAAATCCCTCTCACAGGGAAACCCTCCAGCAAAGCCCTGGCAGTGCTGCTGCCCTCCTCACCTCTGTCCTGGGCAACAGCCCCGCTCACAGCATCACTCCAGCACTACCAAAGCCTTGGGCATCTTTCAGAGACACCACAAGACCACACTGAGTAGAGATGGAAACCAAACCCTGGGGTGGATGAGCCCTGTTTGCAGACTCAGCCTTTTCTCCTGCCTTCTCCCTTCATGGTTGCAGCTAGGATTCTCACTGCTGGGGTTCATCTCCAGCCTCACTAGATTCAATCACTCCAGCTGGCTTTAGCCATTCCTGTTACTTTCTTTCAGCTGGTGATCGCTTCTGCAGCCTCCCAAGTAACAAACTGCTTTAAAAAAAAATAAAAAATATTTTTTTTAATTAATTCTTTTGGGCCTTTGGGGAACTTCACTTGACTGAATCAACATGGCATTGTTTTTACAAATACCTCCCCAGAGTGTGTGAATAGGTAATAGGCTGATGGAGCAGGCTGGACCACTTGACAGCTTCACTGTCTGCCAGCTGAAACTGGAGAGGGTCTGAATTGATTTCAAGTCCCATTTTAGAGCATTTACTCTTTCACCACTGCACCATACACTTGCAAAAATATCTCTGATCTGTTTTCATACCGAAATCTGAAACTTCACCACTGAAAATCAACTTTTTTTTAGGTGCCTTGGACTGCACTGAGATATTCCAGCAGCAGGAATACCAAATTATTTTTGTGCTGGAAAGGCTAAACTAGAAATGCTAAACTAGTTCATGCTATGTGTTATGACTATCCTCCTTCCTTTGTATTTGGAAGTGGGAAGATTTGAGGCAGGGCTGGGGAAGGACAGTTAAAGCAAAGAGCAAGTTTGAGGCGTATGAAAGCAGAGAGAGTAAACCAAGTGAAAATAACCCAGTTTTCTACTGATTTGTTGTTCAATGAGTTACTGCAAGTAATTTTTTTCCTTGTGCTATTTCTGGGGTTTCCCTCTTCTCAATGTTACCATGGTCACTGTGGTGTAACATCAATTTGTTTATATAACCCCCAAGTTGCACATGTAGACCCAGATGTTACTTCAGAACCACTACACTTGGGGAAGGTTTTCTAAAGACTTCACATTAAAACTTCATGGAACAGCGATTTTCCCCCGTAACACTAACAGGCCACCCATCAGAGAAGGACACAACACTACCTGTCCTGCCACAAAGAGATGGTTGCTCAGCCCTGACAATGCTCTGTACTCCTTGAATCTGCAATTAAGCTTCAGCCTTGTAATGTGCTTGTTTTAACTGTATGTTCCGTCACTTTGCTTTATACCATGCACCAGAAAAACAAACTGATGAGTTTGGTTTAATATTGGATTTAATTAAGATAAGCCCAAGAGATTAGGAGCTCAAGAGCACAACGGAAAGTATAAAACAGTATGTACTTATTGTATTTAGTCCAAATATTAGGTCACTTAAAAAATAAATAAATCTGTATTTTC